AAACCATTTTCAGTAGTTTCCTAAGCATAACAGACTTAACTAATTATTTCTATATGTATATTTGATTTTTTTTTATGTAATATTATCCATCCATTAATCTTCTATACTGCTTATACTACTAGAAACCTCAAGCCTATCACAGGGAGCATGGGGCACGAGGCGGGGTACACCCTGGACAGGATGCCAATTCATCGCAAGGCACATTCACACACATTCACACACACACACACATTCATACACTACGGACACTTTGGACATGCCAATCAGCCTACCATGTCTTTGGACTGGGGGAGGAAACCGGAGTACCCGGAGGAAACCCCCGCAGCATGGGAGAACATGCAAACTCCACACACACAGGGTCGGGTGGGAATCGAACCCCTCACCCTGGAGGTGTGAGGTGAACATGCTAACCACTGTATTACATTTATATAATTTTGTATTATTTTAAAGTTTTGCATGTTTAGGAGTAATGTACGAAATGTAAATCATTTTTATTCTATTTTAATTGACATTTTTGTTTGATTTCCTCTCTAAAGGACAGATCTAGGGGGAAAACACACAAACTCGAAGGCCTACGAGAATTATTTTTTTAAATAAATAAAGCGAAAAAAGCTACTTCTTGCCAGTTTGAATAGGTTTCTGTGTTGTGTAAAAAGTGCACTTTGTCTTTATGCAACAGATTAGAGTGAAGCGTGGTGTTCTGGCAGCCACCCATGTGTGTGTGTGTGTGTGTGTGTTTTGTAGTATGTTCCCAAATCCATCCGTCTGCGCAGATTACCAACAAACACAGCTGGGATCAGCTGAATCCACTCCTCTGTGCTACACCAACTCATCGCACACTTCATGAAAACCCATATGATAATATATATATATATATATATATAAGAAAAAAAAGTTGTTTGTAAACCAGGAAACCTGGCGAGTCTCCGCTGGAAAACAGAAATTTTGAACTCTGGATGCATGGACATGGAAGTGGATGTGGAATTAGCCACGGACACATCAACACACACACACACACACACACACACGTAAACATACACACAAACTTGGCTTTGGTGGCTCTCATGACAGTTATAATGCTCTGCACAATTCAGGGTTTAGTGTAGACCAAAGTGTGTGTTCTTGTAAGATCTAGTTAGCTTCTTTGTATCCACTCCATTTAAAGAAAAAACAGATTTAAATGAAGAGACAGAAATACAAAAAGATGAGTATGCAGTAATCCAGTAGCTGTATGGCCTTGAGAATGATTATTAAAAGAAATGGAAATCAAATCGAAGTCATAATCAAATCAGCACGCTGACACATGAGGCATAAAATGACGCTTGTTATTGTTTAGGATTTAATAACGTGTTTTTAATGTTGAATAAAACGTTCATTGCTATAAAACAAAAATACATAAACACAACATTAATTGTTAAATATAATACAATAATGCTTTTTTTTAAGTCTTTGATTAGTCAAAGTTAAAAATGACAATGTACGAATATGCATGTTTTGTGGGCGGAGTCTCACAAACATGACCAGCCCCAATTCTGTTATTTGGAAATAACTAGACTATATCTATACATAGATTATAGTAATGTATTTAGTACTATAACATACACACACCATCCACTTTATGAATAACACCCATGCACCTGCACTCACACACTTATTTAATCAGCCAATCGTGTAGTAGAAGCACAATGTATAAAATCATGCAGATACGAGTCATGAGTTTCAGTTAACATTCACATCAAAAATCAGAAATGGGAAACTTTTTTTATCTCTGTGATGTTAACTGTGACGTGGTTGTTGGAACCAGATGGGCTGGTGTGAGTATTTCAGAAATTGGTGATCACCAAGGATTTTCACACTCAACAGTTTGTAAAGTTAGACAGAATGGTGCGAGAAACAAAAAACATAGAGTGTGCGATAGTTCTGTGTTGGTAAGAAAGGGTCAGAGGAGAATGACCGGACTAGTCTGAGCTGCCAGAAGGATATAGTAATTCAAATAATCAGTCTTTTCAAGCGTGATGAGCAGAAAAGCATCTCAGCATGCACAAAACATCAAACCTTGAGGTGGATGAGCTACAACAGTAGAAGAACACATCAAGTTCCTCTCCTGTCAGCCTAAAACATGAATCTGAGGCTGTCATGAGCACAGACTCACCCAAACTGGACAGATGAAGATCAGCTCAAGGGGCAAAGAATGATTGCATTCATGGTTCCTAAGCCATGCAATTTCAAATCCTGACAACGCCACAGCAAAGAAAGCAAAATTGTCCATACTCTCTTTCCCCTGTCAATCACATCACAGTGATGCTTGACAGTAGTTTGTTTCTGAGTATTCATGTATGCAGATGATTTGTCAGGTGACCATATTTTCCTTAAACATAAGCAGGCTGCATTGCACTGCATGATGTTCATTCATTCATCCTTAGTAACGGCCTGGTCATGATCACAGTGCTTTAAATTAGGCTACAGATTTGTTTATGTTTTAGGATATAATGGCAACTAAATTTGTAATAAATTATCACAAACAAAAATAAAAACTGCATGAGTGGGCCACGCCTACTTGTTTGAATCGGAATACGGATATTTGGAGCAACAAACAGATACGGATGTTATAGTCTATGTAGGGAGCAGCAGTGACAGAGACACCAGACTGGCGCTGCATATACAGGATACTTGGAAAACGCCAGGTGCCTTCATGTTCATCTTTTGTTAGCAACAAGCTTGTGATGTACATTTTCCTTCTCAAAACACTGAGCTGTAGAGTCCGTGTTACGCATTTAACAAGCGAATATCTCTGTACGTTGATTGATTTAAAGCTGACATGTGTATGTAAATAAGAAGTGATGCTTTGCTGTGAGCGGCCATGTTGATTTGGCGTCACTTGCTGAACTCGGGGGTTGAGGAGACCATCCCAAGCTCTTTCGTAGGAATTCCCCAGTAGCTAGATCCTAAACCTCTCCGAACACATGTTTCTACTTTCTGTGGGGTTGCGGTAAGGAGTAAAACAGCCCAGCGATCATCAGCGTCAGTGTCACTCTTGCAGTTTCCAGCGTCATGTCGCACAAACATGGAAAAACATAAAATATAAACCAGATTCAATGCAAAATCTGCCAAACGTACAAGCTGAGACACAAGCGTCAGGCGGGACCTTTGATCTCTGCTTGGCGGCCCTGACAGCTTTTAATTCTTTCCTGACGTTGAGATGAAATCTTTTCCATGTTTACTGGAGTAGGAGGAACATTAGTGCTCCTTGTTGAGGCAACACGGCTTTATTTTCTGGCTCCCTCCTCGGCAGCCGCTCAGTTGCCAGACGCTCTGCAGACTCAGCTTTATCTAGTACTGAGCAGAGGTTTCTTCTCAAACCTGAGGGGCTTCTGGAATTGAACCACTAGGGATTCTTTAATACTTTATATTTTTTTTTAAATAAAAGTCAGGGAGTCAGGGAATTCCACAAATTCTTGTTTGTCGTTAAGTAATCCTGTTAACATCGAATATGAAATGGTTTAAACATGAGAAAATTTTAGTTTTTTTAAAGAAGAAATTATAAGCTCTGTTCGGATCCCGGCCTGTATACGACGGTCCAAAATGTTCACATCGCATGTTGGAGAACAAGAGCAGATTAAAGTTGAAAAGAAACCTCAGAATACATTAAAGCAAAGACGCCTTGTATCCATACTCAGATTCAAGCCAGGAATCGCTGTGATCCCTGATACAGGTACCAATGAAAAACGAAGTACGTGTCCTGTTTATTTTTATACACGCTTTAAAACTTCACCAAATCAATAGATTTTACATTTTCTAACGGAAACTCTAGCATATTAAAGATCTCATCTCTAGCTATTGCACCTGTGTATGTACAATTACCACAGACAATAATAATCTTTTTTAAAAACACGTTGAAAGATATTTACAGGGCTCATTTACTGTACAGTGTGACAGGACGAAACCTTTTTCTCCATTTGCTAATATGATTTCAGCTAGCCAAACGCTTTGCTAGTCTTTGACGTTAGCTGCTAGCGTAGACAGACAGCTGTGTAAGGCAGGTGAGACATGCAGCTGCTTTTCCTAAAATGAGCAGCGTGACCGATCCTGACATCCCATTCTCCCAAATCATCACATGCTACCTGTCTAGTAGCGTATTAGCTCCATAGTTGTCTCCCGTTGTGCTCTGGCTAATTTAAAAAAAATGAACGCATATGGAGAGTATCAGTGCCTTCTACACCACGGGCCTCACTCCATCAACATGAAGACCAAAAATCTGTTTGCTTTCTTACCTCAGTCACGCTAGGCGGTTTTCATATGCTAGTCGTGATGGTATGGCAGGACAGATAAGACTGATTCTGTTAATACTTGGCTAAATTTACATGTTCATTCACACTTGATTACACGGGGCAGAGGCCAGGGTTCTGTCACGCTTTTTAAGAGTCACTTGAAGGAAATATCAGCGAGTCCTGTGAGTCTGCCAGGCTCTGAGAAGGCTACTCAAAGACAATAAGGCTTCGGAGTCTGCTTTACAAGAACGAACATCAGACAGTCTGGGCATCTGAGTGAATCTGAACACTTAAAGGAATACTCTGGTGAAAAATCTAATTTACATACACATTTTAAATGTAATCAATCATCTGAGAAGTTGATCGGATGTCTTTCAGAGCGTCAAGGATAATATATAATATAGTTCAGAATTCACACAATGGGCCTGATTTAGCAATCTTTTAGTAGTTGTTTCGTTGAAATGTTTGCGTTAGTCAAACCAGACAATTTTTTTTGCAGGATTTACAAAAGTTGTGCGCGTATGTTGATCCTCTGTAAAGTGCAAAGCGTGTTCCTGAAATCTTGTAGCGATGCCCACAAAACTCCATAAAAAGATCAAGGACCGGAAACTTGAAACCTTCCATCTGCTGCGTTTTGTTTACAGTTTACGGCTCTGCGCAGACAGACCAGCCCGTCCTCCATTTACACAGCATTTCTTTTGTCACATATCTGAGCAAGTCTTGAATATAGGGTGCACGGTGGATTAGCGGTTAGCACTTTCGTCTAGCACCTCCAAGGTCAGGGGTTCGATTCCCGTCTCGGCCCTGTGTGTGGAGTTTGCATGTTCTCCCTCTCCGGTTTACTCCCCCAGTCCAAAGACATGCATGGTAAGCTGAATTGGCATGTCTAAAGAGTCTGTAGTGTATGACTATGTGTGTGAATCGTGCCTTGCAATGGATTGGCACCCCATTCCATCCAATGATCCCTGGGATAGGCTCCAGGTTCCCCATTACCCTGAAGGATAAGTGGTATAGAAAATGGATAGGTGGATGGATAAATCAAATATAAGATCGATAAACCTATTTCTGGAAATTATTACTTAATTCAAGTTTGTATTTTCTTATTCTTATTCTAGAAATAAATGCTTAAAATGAATGTTCAAAATGATCTCCCGATAGAACAAGACTATTTCAAGCTTGAAATGATTATGAATGCGGCTTGAAATAGGTTTAATAATCTTATATTTGATTGTAATTGTATTTTTACAATAGGAAATACTAGATAGATTTGACTATATTCAAGGCATTTCCACATGCTGTGATGTAATGTTACATTCCCTCTCGCAATCTGCGATCGACTAGCGACCGACGTTTAGTAGTTCCCACTCAGCGTGGCGTAAGGTCCCTCTCCAGAACCTTCACACATACCGTTCCCCAGTGGTGGAATGCTCTTCCGATCTCAATCCGGACTGCAGAGTCTCTCACTATCTTCAAAAAACAGCTAAAGACCCACCTTTTCCGTGAACACCTAACCATCTCCTAAAAACAAAAAAAAACAAAAAAAACAACAAAAAAAAAACCACAGACTTGCACTTACACCTCTACTCTGTACACTTTGCTTCCTCTGGTATTCAATTAATGGATCTTGTATAGTAGCACTACTTGTATTGTTCCCTGCTTGATATATTGCTTTGCTTATTTGTAAGTCGCTTTGGATAAAAGCGTCTGCTAAATGAATAAATGTAAATGTGATATTCTTATGTGCATAATTGAATGATTAGCTTTATTTGTCTTACTTTATGGGTTTGTGTTGGCTTGTTTCCTTCCTTCCTTCAGTCCTTCTTTCTTTCTTCTATTTAATTAATGCAAATAATATTAAACTACTGGTTTTGACAAAAGGTTCTGGATGGTGCCGTTAGACCATGACCTAGTGAACTAGCATGAGGACATGTTTTTGATCGAGGCCCTTCCAAAGCTCTTCTATAAAACACTCAAGAGATTATGAACGTTTTTCCAAATTGATGTGATTTATTAGAATGCCAAATTTTGTGTGTAAACGCTCATGTGAATGATTTACCAATAAAGCTGTTCGTATCCATTCTGATAAATGAGGCCCATCCATTGATTGCGATATTTGGGATTCCTCAAGCTTCAATTCCTTTGAGCTCGATACAAAAGGATGTTATTGCTTTCACATCCCTTATAGCAAGACGTTCCCTACTGTTACATTGGAAGTCTGCTAAATACCCATCTATCTCTCAGTGGATAAAGGACGTGATGTTTTTTCTGAAACTCGAGAAAATACGATATACGATGAATGGATGTACAGATAAGTTTTTTCATAAGTGGCATCCCTTTATTGCCTACTTTAAGGAGTTACAGACACTACCCACTTAAAGGTTGGCGCCTGTTGTTGAATTTTATAATATCTCTATAACCAGCGACAGTTAATGGGTAGCCATGATGAGCCGGAGGGGTGGGTTGTGGGTTCAATTTTGTTTTACTTTGTATAAAAAGAAAAAAATCTGTGAATATTTACTGCTGTTGCTAATTTTGTATTTTTGGGAAATGGTGGGGAGGACAGAACAGAAAAGGCGATTTAGATAGGCTTAGCAGTTCAACAGAAATGTATAGCAGAAATGTTTAGCAGAACTGGTTTAGCAAAAATTGTTCAGTAGAAATGTAGAAATGTTCTGTACAAATGTTCATCAGAAGTTCAGCCGAAATGTTCAATAAAAATGAAACATAATAAAATAAAATACAATAAAAAATAATAAAAAACGAGGCCCAATGTCTAATTATCCCAAGAAAACAACACCAACAACAACAAACAAAGAGAAAACTTTCAGCCTCAAGCTGACACACACACACACACAGAGAGAGAAACACAGACATCATAATTATGCCTTTTTCTCAGGTCTCACATCTGTAATTTTCACTTTAAAGCTGTGTATGATGCAGATAGAAAATGTTCAAGACCCTGATAGAAGCAGGTCTGGTGTCTTGTGCAGATAAGCATGTGTGTTGTGTGTGTGTGTGTGTGTGTGTGAGTGATTCAAGCATCTGAAATGAAAATATAGAGACAGAAAACACTGGACCAGCACAGCTTTCACTTCTAGCTCACAGTAGGAGATGAAGATCCACCAGCAGAAGCCTTTGAGCGCTCGCTCGCCTTAATATCTCCGGCAGTGAGGCGACATTTCAGCATCAACACCAAGATAAAACACTGACCATGCTTTTCCTCTAATCAATTATCCATGCTTCGAGGGTGGCGAATGCATGGATCTGATTGGTCAGGAGGCGTGCGTCATTTCGGACAGCAGTTCCGGCTGTAACCCAAGCGATGGATTTATATTAACGCGCTCATTAATATAACATGTGATGCTTTCTATAGCAACAGCTCCTATACAGGGCCTTGTGCGGCAGGTGCTCCACATAATTTAAAGTTTAAAACACATTATAATTGTTGAGGTGTTTTGTTATGAGACGTTTATTTAACATTTATGGAAGGAGTGACAGAGCTTGGTGAAGTTTTCACAGCACAAGAAAGTCTTAAGGACCGAGTAGTTTACGCTTTTCTCAGAAAATTGACCAGCTCTGTTTATTGAGAGTGAGAGAGAGAGAGAGAGAGACAGAGAGAGGGAGTGAGAGAGAGAATAGGAGATGCCTATTGCTGTAACGTAAGTGAGAAGAGGAACTAACTTGTCTTAACTATAAACTGCTAAAACATGTGACATCGTGATGATCGTTAATATATTAAACATTATACTCCCTGAAAAATATTTGTGGTACAGTATAAGTGGAATAAGACACTACAAAACCATGTGGTTGTATGACAAATACACACCCACCCCTGGCGTGGATTAGTTTCATATAACAATATCATATAACCGGTCATGTGTTATTCCTTTTGCATACGACGTGGAGGTGTCACACGAAGACTCGCATTCTCTATCGCAGAGTGTTTCGGGAAATGGAGAATGTTCTTGTTCTCTGGCCAGATAAAGGAAGAAGAAGAAGAAGAATAAGGCAGCTCACAAGACTGCTAAGGAAGAAGTTAACCGTCTCACTGCCATGAAATCATGAAACCTTTGAATCTTTTTTTTTTTTTGGAGTAAAATTGCTACTGCATATACTACTCTTTAATTATTCCTATCCATATATCCAAGATTGTACATAAAATCTAGAACTCTAAAAGTTACTTTGGTCCATCTATGGGAATACTACATAGAACAATTAAGGATTAGTTTCTCCAGATAAGGAAAACCTTAAAATATCCAAGAAAACTATTTTAGAACCCTATTGATTCGCTGCTAAAAGTGCACCAAGTACCCTTCTAAACTCCTGACCTATTCTACTTTGTTCAGCACCATTAAAAAAAAAAATCTCGGACATGGGCGGATTTATCAAGCATTTCTTATTGTGAGATTATTATAAACCAAATACTGAAAGATAAAATATTACTCTACTTTCTAGAAATAAATGCTTAAAATTAGACAAATTGTCTGCTGACTACCTCGAGATTTAAATTTATTATTATTTTTTTAAAAGTCTCGAAATTAGGGCTGGGCGATATGACAAAAAAAATATATCACGATACACAAGGAGTATCACAGATATATAATTTAGCAAACAAACAGTCTGCAAAACAGTCGTAAAATAAACCAAAAAAAAAATTTTCGACTGAGTTTGATGATACTTTTCTATAACGGCTACAAAGACAAAGAAGAGTACATTTTCAAAATATTACGTAAAATCAGAGGCATCCATTCTGTTTAATTTGTAATTATTAAAAATGTAAAAAAAAAAATCACCATAACAACAATATCTAATAACAATAACAATAAAATTGTATCAAGTAATCATTTATTGCGATATCGATATTATATCGATATATCGCCTAGCCCTACTAGAAATAGGCTTAATAATGAGAGATTTAGTTTATCGTATTCTTATAAATAGGTATGATAGGTCAAACTAGATATATGTCACTACAGTATATTTAAGATATTTTCAATCTACATCATTTGTTGTGGCATTGTGCAGCACAGACCTTAAAGGGATAACTGAAGAGTGTAGTTTGCATAAATGTGGATCTGGGATTGCTCCTTAAATTGAGCTTAAAATCTTCGGAGTAAACGTTTAAAAAAATTTTGATGAGCACAAATGGAATACAAATAATTGTTAAATTGAAAATCAAAACAAAAGCAAAAAAATACAGGATTAGAATTCAGATCGTTGTTATGTGCTGTCAAAGCTACTACTATTATGGGCTACTATTCTTGTTGTTGATAAACGTATCAGTAGATTTATTTTCAGGAAATAATAAGGTCACTAAATAGGTCTATAAGTGGTTTACAGTCACACTGTGTTCAGAAAACTTCTGATTTTATTCCACCTTCAGAGGTCAAAGTAGTATTGTAAAGTAACGCAGTTTCACCACTATCAGCTCCAAGTCTGGCGTCTTTTCCAAGCAGCAGCAGTATTACTTCAACAGACCTTGATCTGTGCGGCTCGGGGATGAGCGGAGGTCTGCAAGCTCCGTGTTCGGCTTGTCTGGCAGTCCAGAGATAAAAGTCAGGAGGAGATCCTGTCGAGTGAAACATCTCAGTCGTTTACAGAGAGACAGAGCGAGAGTTGCGCATAGGTTCGGGGATTCTCGTGGGCAATCCGAACGTCCCTTTAAGTCTGGACGGGTGAATGTGAAATCAATGGTACACCCATGTAAGAGTTCGCTTGTGTGGCCTTCACTGGCTTAGGAATAGTATAAAAGTCTCACTTTTTTTTATCGCAAAAAAGAATATTGGATGCTATTAAATGGTGAAG